GAGCTTGGTTCTTCCCAGTGCATCGTCCTACAGCTTACATTTGGTTTTATTTTGCTTTTCCCATACCATCTACATTTATTTTCGGATTTGTCCTCCATTAGTGTGCCTCTTGGGGGCAAGGTTCATGGGTCACGTGTTACTTTTATATCCTCCTCCGCCTAGAATAGGTGAATAGGCATCTGGTCATTTGAGTGGATGAAAGAGATTTGTATTTTAGAGAATGTTACTTTCATTGACATTGTGTTCTGGGAAGTATAGCTACTTGGGGATTATACAGATTAACTCTTAGTTTGTGACTAATATAAACTCTTTTCCACTTTCTTTAAACTGTTGACTTCTTAATGGCTTATTTCTTAGAAGGTGTATAGGGGCTAAGAGAAGCAAAACACTGCTTGGTTTAATTCTGGGGGAAAGTTAGTTCAAGGAGGATTTGGGGCTCATTAGGGATTTAATTGTGCTTGAAAACTTTATACTAGCTACTATAATGTAGTTATAGTTGAGAATTACCTTCACAGGCGGTACGAGCCATAGGAGAGAGACTGGGAAGTGTTTTGCTTTTATAAAACATACTGGTCAAAGCTTGGGCATTGTACTCAGATGGACCAGTGTTCTTGGATATGTTTCCCAAGAATTTGGGGGCTTTATTTCCTCATCTGTAAAATGGGGATAATAGAGGTTCACTGTTAGGCACTAAAAGGTGGTTATGATGAGCTAATCGATACAAGCCAAGTCCTTGGCTTATTTTCAGACACACAGTAAATGTTAAGTAAATATTAGCTATGATGATATTACATATTACTTTTACTTAAAGCATTGTTAAACGTCTTTAACTGGAGAATCATTATTTAGCCAGATTTGAGCGAATGCTTCCTGACACCTAATACCAACCTGTCTAGGCTGCACAAAGGTAGGCCAGGGGCCGCGATGGGGGAAAAGGTCCCTCACAGGTCAGAGTTTCGGAATTCTCGCTCCAGCTCCCAGCTTCACCAGCCTGGGTAGGTTTGGCCAACGGGTGTAACACCTCTGGGCTTGGGTGTTCTCGCTGCCAGTGGGATGGCAGCGCTTCCCCTGCATTCTTGGCAGTTACTGGGAGGAGTTGGTGCACTCCTGGGGTTGAAAGCGCTAACATACTGTGCCTCTTTGAGGATTTTCTCTAGGTCTCATTTTGCTGCAACCATGACCTAATTCCAACCACAAGTTTGTTGTTTTATTCATTTGCACTTATCCTATATAATCCTATATAATAAAAGGTTAATATGCAAATCGACTGAATGGCAGAACAACCGGTCGCTATGACATGCACTGACCACCATGGGGCAGACACTCAACGCAGGAGCTGCCCCCTGGTGGTCAGTGCACTCTCACAGGGGGAGCACCGCTCAGCCAGAAGCCGGGCTTACGGCTGGTGTGCTGGTGGGAGCCTCTCCCGTTTCTGTGGTAGCACTAAGGATGTCTGAATGTTGGACATCCCCCAAGGGCTCCCGGACTGCTAGAGGGCACAGGCCAGGTTGAGGGACCATTCCCCCCCTCCGAGTGCACAAATTTCATGCACCAGACCTCTAGTTTTAATATAATCCACATTTTTTTTCCCAACAAACATGCTATAAATACCCTCATTTTATATTACCCCCTCGAAGTCTTAAGCCTGTTCTTTAAATCCTTAGAGATTTTACTGTTCCAATGTGCAGGGTCCTCACTGTCTCCCCCTGCTCCCCCCTTACCTTCTACTAAGGGAAAGGTGTAATAAGGTGGGGCCTGGAAGCTGGTGGGCATGAAGTTATACCTAGTCATAATGATTGAGTCTTGATCAAAATTATGGCATTTTAAGTGCTATTAAGTAAATGTCCAAGCCCCTTCTCTGCTGATCTCTAGTCCCTAAATCACACTGTGAGCATTTGGAATGGGTGCTCTCTCTCCAGGGCTGCTATGGTTTTCCTTATAACAAACCACACGGGAAAAGCAGAAAGGAAGAGATGTGGGGATATAGTATTCATGGACCAGCAAGGGCCTTGTAGGGTCTGCTTCCTCCACCTGCTGTACAAGGCGGCAGGGGGGCTCCGTGTGGATGGGCCCCTCCTCCTGGGATCCAAGCCTATCTCCTATCCTTCTTAACTGGAAGGTGTTTTGTGCAGAAAGCTGGCTGTTTGCCCCGCAACTTCACTAATCTTGTCTTGGACACCACTTGCTGTCGTCTGCTTCATGGAGGGAATAAAGGTTTTATACAGAGGTTTCTGGGTCTCAGCAGCAGGTCTAATATCTGAGCAGATGTGTACATGCCTGGAAATAGAGATAAGCAGCTGCAGAAAGGGGATTATGAAAGTGCCAGTTAAGAGAAAAATGCGCTTTTGTCATCGGGGACACAGGAGTGGGTCTTAAGCAGAAATATTTTGTAAAATAAGAATGGCTCACTTTCAACCCATGTTCTTATAATTATTTTAATATTGAAAGACATAGTGACTGCATTATAAAAGGTTTGAACTGAGAATAAAAAAGATGTAACGGTTGGCTTGCTCTTTCATGCATTTCATCAGAACCATATATTAGTCTTTTTTAGTTTCTTGAGGCCTTAACCAGTTTCGGTTCACCTCTACTCTTGATCTTTTGAGCAGTTTAGGATTAAAAAAAACAAGAAGATTTAGGTTTGAAAATGAGAATACATGTATTTCCTAAGATCATGGAGCTTGGGAAATACTGTATGTATACCAGGAAAGCTCACCGGTGTAAAATCTTGAGTTGGGGAGGCTCCCAAAAATCTGTGGGTTCCCACTAACTTGGGCAGAGAAGGGA